ACCTCTGGGAGTTGGAGTAGCACGTCCTCGGGGGTGCACCGGCAGGTGCGCTTGGGGCGATGGCTGATGCCCCTGGCGAAAGGTAGGGGGGGAGCGAGGCCAAGGGGGCAGCGAGGCGCGAGGTGGCCGAGGGGGTGCCCAGCCCGAGGAACCAGACCCGTGCCGCCCACGTCAGATTGTAGACAAGGTTGCTCGCGTCGATGCCCAGCTCGACGTCCGTGCAGTACCCGAGGTGGCTCCATGCCTTCCGATCGAGCTTGCCGGGCTGCCTCGGGGTGGCGCCAATGGACCATTGGTGGGGGTGTAGTCCGGACGCTGTGTATAGGATGACCCCCATCGCAGAATCCTCGACAAGCTTCTGCAGGCTGTCTGCAATGGCCTCACCCAGCTTTTCCCATGAGAACTCTGGGTCGAGCGGCGCAGCAATCCGGTCTTCGAAGTTCTTCTCCGTAGAGGCCCGGGCTTTCACGATGGCATTGTCGAGTCCCTTGATGACGTCATCTCCTGTGTGGGAGGGGGGCTCTGGAATCCATGTGGTAAGGTCCTTGATGGGGTCGAACCCCGCATCGACTGCCAACGTCCATCTCCTGCCCATGTCTTCTGGGTGCATGAAGCGAACCCAGAGCTTGGCGAATCTTCCAGACTCCGACAACTCTCGTAGACGTGACCCTGCGGCGGTGCCGAACATCCTCCCATCTCCGATGATGACCACGTTGCGGGTGGCGCGGGTGATCGCCACGTTAACCCTGTTGGCGTTATCCATGAACCCCCAGTCGTGCCACCTGTTGGACCTGGTGGTCAGTCGGCCTCGCCGCCTTGACTGGAGTCGATGGTGGAAATGGTGAGCTTCCCGCTTGCCAGGGGTTTTTCGGCGAGGTGCCGCAGCCCGGGACAGGTCATGGAGATGCCTGTGAGTTCGGTGCTGCGCTGCACGAAGACACTCGCGTGGTCGCCGGTGCTGGAGGGGCGGTCAAGAGGGGGGGTTGAGGGCCCGCTGCCTGGGGCTGCCCCGTCCTTCCCTTTCCCCTGGTCTTGGCCTGCCTGAGGATGCCACTGATGCTGTTCACGCTCTGAGGCCATCCCTTTTCGAGGACGGCGCACTGCAACTGGTATCCGACGACCGCCCGCGCCGAGGTGCCGTTCTGCATGGCGGGCAGGGGGGCGCGTGCGATGTCCACTGTCGGTGCTGCCTCTGGCAGGTTGGCGTATCCTGCGTGGAGCCGTGAGGTGACTTCCAGGGGGGGGTTGTCCATCAGGAGGAAGCGATGCCGCTCCTCCTTGCGCTGGTTCACAGGCATCAGACCGCGAAGCATCTTCTCCATGTCGTCCTTGGTGGTGGACGCCGCCGTAGCTAGATCGCCAGCTCTGGTGTCGTCCCAGGGGCGAACGTCCTGCCGTGGGGGCTCCTCGACCAGGGGTCTCTGAGTCAGGGGGTCGGTGAGGCCGGTGCGCATCGTATTATTGTAGAAGGCAAAGTTCGGCCATGCCAGTAGCAGGGGATGCATGCGGTAGCAGAGGCTGAGCTGCGCCGCCGCAGACTGGTCGCCCCCCAGGGCATGGTGGAGACGGTCGAAGATGGAGAGGCATAGCCCCTGGTCTGCTGCCTTCCTAGAGATGACTGTGGGGGGGGGCTGCTTGGGGTCGCCGACCAGCACCGGGTGTCCGCCTGAGCAGATGACGCTGTCGAGGGACATGGCGGCCATTAGCTCATGGGCTTGCCCGGCCTCGTCTATGATGAGTAAGGCAACTGGGGCAGCTTTCCCTAACGCCTCCGCAGATTCATGCGTGGCGACGATTGTCTTGGCGTCCTCGAGTAGCTGGGCCCGAAAAGCAGGAAAGTCCTTGGAGGGTCCGCCCTCATACGGGAACCTGCCGTAGGCTCTGCAATAGTGTCCTCTCGGGGTGAGCGCAGCAAGGGTCTTGGCCACCTTGAAGTCTCTGGCCAGGCGGACGCATCTGGTTGGGCACCCTGTCCGGGAGCCCAGTTTGTTGGCCTGCTGTGCGCTGATAAGACCGAGTGTTGGCTGATCGGCGGCTGTGTTGGAGCCTGCTGTCAGGGCAACTGTGTGTCCGTCCGGAAGTGCTTTGGCCCGAGTGTCCATGGTGGCGACGGAGAAGATCGTCTTGCCTGTGCCGGGGGGCCCGTGAACGATTGTTACGTGGTGTAAGGTGGATGCGGTGAGGGCCTTCGTGGCGTCGCGGTTGAGGCCGTGACGCCTGGCTCCTTCCTCGAGGGCCGTGAGCGGTGGTAGTTCCCTGGCACGCTGGAAGACTTGTTCGACAGCTGTATCCACTTCTGGATCCGAGCAGGGGATGGTAGCCAGGGGCCTCGCGGGGGTGTTGGGTGTCGCTGTGCTTCTGTCCGCTGCTGTCTGGGCAGAGCCGGGGGAGCGCTCCTCAAGGGTGGACCTGGCGCACGCAAGTAGAGCTTGTCCGCTGTGTGAGGTGTTACTCGCGCTGTTGGCCAACGCCGTGTCCTTCTTGTCGGCCGTGCGAAAGGCGAGGAGGTGGGTGATGACGTCCAGGGGGGTCCCAACCAGGTCGCTGGGGGCCTGCTGCAGTTTGTAGATATCGGTGATTGCGGTAGTGATCCGACGAAACTGGAGCAGGGAGGGGGCCCTGTCCATTCTGTACCACGCTTCCCCCACGTTGGGGGGTCTCGGGGTCCTGTCGTCCGCGTGGAACCCCCCAAACTTTTCCACGTCATATACCGCAATGCACTCGTTGCTGGGGAACCTGGTACCATGCCTGAGCCCCAGCGCCTGGCAGTCGCTTTGGGGGACTGTGCCTCCGAGGTCAGGTGGCCAGTGGAGCTTGACAGTGGCCGTTTGGTCCGCTGCTGGGCTGGTGATGCTGAGGAGCAGCATGCGGGCGTCCTGTCCAGCGTCCTGCCCTCTGAGGAGGACCTTGAACACCTGGGGCCAATGCAGGTGTAACAGAATTTTCCCGGTCTGGGTGGGGAGCGCGTTCCTCAGCTTAAATTGATCGAGGAGGTCGCATGATGACTGCTCGTCAATGGGGGTCACTGATACGCCTAGCGCGCAGCTCTGCCTTCTTTCCAATTCCGTTCTGGCCTTGGTAGAGCTGTCCCAGACGGTCTCGGTGGCTGCCATGCACTCGGTCCAAGCCAGCCTCTCAAGGTTACGCCCCCTCTGCCGCAGGTCCTGCTCCCAGTGCCTCGGGAGGTTCACGCCCTCGGCGACTGCGCCAATGGGGGTGTGAAGGCGGAACTGTGCGGCTGCGCTGTTGGTGGGTGCCGAGTATAACTGCGTGATGGCGTCAGCCGCGGCAACCGCTGATGACTCGAGCAAGACCTTCCTCATCACCGCTGCGGGTGCGCCGTGCCGGCTGTGCTGGTCTGTGTACTCATCTTCTTCGAGCCGAGACCTGTCAGCGGACTCCTGCGAGGAGGCCCTGCTGGAAGCGTTGGGCCTGCCGTTCCACGAGCCACGCCTGGCAGATGACCCCGTGTGCTGCGCGGAGGGTAGGCCGGGGGAGCCCCAGACGCTGGGCCCCCCCTTTGACGCTTTCCCCCATGCCGTCCTCAGCTGCGTCGGTGGGCGCAGGTCACTGGAGTGGATAATGCCTGTGGGGGTGATGAAGTCGTGCACGTCATCCCTGTAAGGGAAGTTGACCGGCACGTAGTCCCAGTCGTCGGGGAAGATCCACCCTGGGAGGTGGGGCCTGCCATGATCCTTCACTGGCGCTGGCAACGTCCAGCCCGGCCAGTGTGGTCTGCTGACCTCTTGCAAGTGTGCACATGGTCGTGCTCCGACCCCTTTGTCATGGACCAGAGATTGCCAGGCGTAGTGAACTCCCTTGGGTCAGGCCACCCGATGTGTCTCTGCTTGTCAGCCTCGGTCCAGTGCTCCCACCCGAGGAGGTGCTCCTTGCCTTCACAATACCTCTGGCACAGCAGCACCATTCGCCATGAAAGTGGGCCCAGCGGGGCCAGGGCACTCACGCGCGCGGAATTGTAGGAGGCCATCTGCCTTGTCCGGACCGTCGGCGCAGTAGGCTGTGGGGGAGGGTCATCGCGCCAACGGTCCTAGATTGCACCTCTTCCGTGGCATTCTGATGGGGGGTGCAGCCAACAGCCGCACTGGAACACGTACTGGTGCCCAGCTGCAGGGAGTACCTCAGTCGGCAGAGCGACCGATCGATCAGCGACCCGGGGCGGGGGGGAAGGAAGAGGAGGAGGGCGGAGGATTTTCCAGCTGGTAAGCGGTCACAGCGCACCCGGTGGATCGCACAGGCCGACATCTCGACCGATGCTGGCGGGGAAGTGCGCAGGTGACTGGTGGGGTTACGCGAAGCGCCTGGAATTTGTTCAGCTGTGGGTATTCCTAGGAAATCGCTGTAGAAATGATCCTGTGCAAGAGCAGTCGATGACTATGATGATGACGACGTCAACGACGACGGTGACGATGCTGCATATGATTACGACGATGATGATGATGCTGCTGATGATGACAATTTAGATGATGACGACGACGATGATGATGGTGATGCTGATGACGATGAGGATGTTCATGTAGATGATGATGATGATGGTGATGATGAGGATGCTGATAAGTATGTTTGTGATTATGATGGCATTTATGATGATGTTCAAAAACAATATTAATCTATTGATCATAACAATAACGCCAATGGTGACGGCGACTACGAGGATGATGAGGATAAAGACGACGACAGTGACGATGACGACGATGATGATTGTGATGATGATGATGGCGATGACGATTGTGATGACGAGCGGCGATGACGATTACGACGGCGATGCTGATGCTGGTGATGATGATTATTACGATGATGTTGATGATGATGGTACCGACAATCACCAACATGGTGACCATGACGATGATGATGATGATGATGATGATGATGATGATGATGATGATGATGGTGGTGGTGATGATGATGATGATGGCCACGTGGCGACGAGGAGTCGCGCTCCGATGGCGCGCCCCCGCTCCAGCCCTCGGCCCCTGGCGGGCCTCGGCGAGGGGCAGCGCGGACTCTTGGTCGAGGTACTCGCGCTGCTGCTCCTCGGCCCTCCCCCTGCCGACCCTTCGGCCACTCCTCCTCCTCCTCCTCCTCCTGCCCCTCCTCCTCCTCCTCCTCCTCCTCCTCCTCCTCCTCCTCCTCCTCCTCCTCCATTCCTTTTCCTTATAACTACTTTCTCCCTGTCGCACCCCGAGGCCAGTTTTTAGGGCGGGCCAGGCGTTTCGCCTGAGACTTCCTCACCATTTATGCTCTGCGGCTTAATCAATGGCAGCAGTTTCGCAGATGGAGGGCGGGCCGTTTTCAACATGTAGCTCTCGCCTTAGCGCCGTGCACATGCGTTTTAACAATTCGCAAGAGCTTCACGGATCGAGGGCACATCGTTTTCAACATGTGGCTCTCGCCTTAGCGCCGCACACGTTCGTTTCAACAGATTGCAAGAGCCTCACGGATTGAAGGCGACTCGTTTTCAAATTGTGCCTCTCGCCTTAGCGCCGCGCACATTCGTTGATAACATTTGCAAGAGTTTCACGGGTTCCAATGATCAGCGTACCAGACATATTGTTTTGGAAAGACTCAGGAGTATGCGGGTGCAACAGTTACGTTGGTTCGCGGTGTTGCAGTCCCAGGACTGGCGTTCTCGCACGATTCACGATGGTCAAGGCGCAACAATCAAGTTGATCCGTAGCGTTGCAATTCCGAGAACAATGTTTTGGCATGCTTCAGGGTCTTCAAACGGAAGTCTTCCGATGAGGCGGTTCCCTCAACGGAAATGAACTATTGTAGTGGCCTACGAAGAGGGAGCTTCGAGGGAGTATTTATTCCAACATCGTTGATGACTCTTGGGTTTACACTGGTTCTCCTCCTCCTCCTCCTTCTCCTCTTCCTCCCTCCTCCTCCTTCATGTCTCCTCTTTCTCCTTCTCCTCCTCCTCCCCCTCCTCCTCCTCCTCCTCCTCCTCCTCCTCCTCTCTCTCTCTTCCTCCTCCTCCTCCTTCATGCCTCATCTTCCTCCTTCTCATCCCTCGTCTCCTTCTCCTCCTTCGCTTCCCTCTTTTGCGCTGCCTTCTCCTCATCCTCCTCCTCCTTCTCCTTCATTCCCACTCCTCTTTTCCTCTTTGTCCTCCTTCTCTTCTTCCTCCTTCTCCCTCGCTCCCCCCTCTCTTCCTTCTTCCTTCCCTCCCTCCCTCCCTCCCTCCCTTCTTCCCTCCCTCCCTCCCTCCCTCCCTCTCTTCCTCCGCGAGTGGCAAGCACGTTTCGGCCATACCTTCGACCTTCAGGATGTGGCCAGCTGTCGGCGATCTAACAAATTCTGCCCGTCTTCTCCGAGCTGCCATCGTCTCCAGGAATTACTTCTCGGTAGTCATCCTCCTCCCTCCTGGTTACCCACCATCGTCCTCTTCCTCCTGCTCCTCTCCTTCTTCTTCTCCCGCCACTCCTCCTTGTCCTCCTCCTCCTTCTCCCGCTGCTCCTGCCCCCTCCTATCACCCTCCTCCTCGCCCACCTCCCTCATGTTCTTCCTCCTGCTGGCTGCTGCTGCTGCTGCTTGCTGCTCCTCCTCCTCCGCGCTCCTCCAGCTGACCCTTCATCTGGACCCTGATGTTGGTGGCGGCCTCGAGCGCGGCCTCCTCCTTCGTGAGGACCAGGAGCAGGAGGAAGGGGAAGGAATGCGGATGATGATGAGGAGGAGGAGGAGGAAGAGGAGGAGCAAGAGTAGCAAGAGAAAAGTGAAGATGAACAATTTCAATCAAGTGAATCAGCGAGCTCGGGTCCTTGCGCAACGCCTCCGACGCGCGTGCCACGTTCCGTTTATTCCGGGCCAGCTCGGCCATCGATGAACTCAGGTCGGCCCGGACCTGCTTGAACTCCGACTGCGCCGTCTTCAATGCCTCGCGGTACCTCGCTGGAGATCACCGGAGGTCCCCAGAAGCCTCCGCGCATGGAGGCCTCTGGAAGCCCCACCCGAGAGGCCTCTGGAGCGCCTCTGGAGGCCTGAGAAGGGCCAAAACATGTCCGAACAGCTTGATCCTCGACTAGGGCCTCGTGGTGGTGGTCGTCGTCGGGGACCTCCGAGAACTTCCGAGAGCCTCCGAGGTCTCCCGGGCGCCTCCGCAAACCTCCGAGAAGCGTCGGCAGACCTCGAACAACAAAAGACGACGACGACGAGGACCACGATTGAGGGGAGGTTGGCCTTTCGGGTCATAACTCGGGTCTCCTGCGGCCGTTCGGGACGATCCAGGCACCTCTGGAACGCTCTTGGCGAGGCGCAGCTGCTGAACCGCATCCCGAGGCAAGAAAACCTTCAAGAACCGACGAAACCATCCGCAAGCGCCCTCGAGCCGGTACCACGGCCAGCTGTCTCGCGGCCCCACGTTGAGGTCCCGCTTGAGCATGGGGATCTGCTCGGCCAGCGACGTCTCGCGGGCACGGAGGCTGCTGACGTTCTCCTCGAGGGCCACGTCGCGCGCGTAGCGGCCCGCGAGCTCGGCGCGGAGCGCGTCGCAGCGGGCTGCCTTGGTTTGGCGGCTTGCGCAAAAAATCTAAGATCGGCTCGGCGATCGACGCTTTACCCATACCCCTGCTCGCGCCAGAACTCTACGAGGGGGCGGAGTGGGGGTATGGACAAACATCAAGCCTATGGGCGCACAGTTTTCTATCCGTGACCTGCCTCCGCAAGCGACCAGAGTGGGGTGCAGCAGCAGGGTTATGGATCGAACGTCGATCCCGATCGGTGGCGACGCCGAGTCGTCGTCGACGTCGTCGTTTCGGAGGCTGTGAAAACAAATTGTTGAACTTCATGCTTTTTCCACTTACCCATAGAAGCTTGAGTGTACCCTGTGGCCCCAGATTGCCGCCTCCTGCGCGGCTAGCATTTTTCCGCCGCTGGACCAATGTGTCGTGCGACATGCCTTGTGAACGAAGGAACGGAGGCTGTCGTGGCCACGGCTGGACAGCTCGAGAAACGGCCCAGGATGAACCTCGAGAGGGGTCTGGGGACCAGCTTTAAGCGGACTTCGGTCGGGGATGGGGCGAAGGGGGCGCCTTCTAAGAATGCAGGGGGCTGAGGCTTTCAAGAATGGCGAACACCCGACTCAACCCTCGATCCTCGAACCTGCCTCGGTCCTTATCCTCGAAGCTTCGCGGGAGGACAGAGGAGCGATGGGGGGGGGAAGGATGATGATGCTGATGATGACGGTGCTGCTGATGATGCTGATAATGATAATGATAATGATAATGATGATGATGATGATGATGATGATGATGATGATGATGATGATGATGATGATGATGATGATGATGATGATGCTGATGCTGATGATGATGACGATACTTATGACGATGATGATGCTGCTGCTTCTGATGATGATGCTGATTCAGATGTTGCTGTTGATGATTATGATGCTGATCGATGATGGCGATGGTGATGAGGATAATTATTGTGTCTATGATGGTGGTGGTGGTGGTTGTGATGGTGACAATGATACTGCTGCTGACGCTTCTGATGATGAGGAGAAGGAAGATAATGACGAAGAGGCGGGAAGGACAAGGGAGATGATGATGCTGATGATGATTCTGAGGGTGAGGGTGAGGATGCTGCTGCTGCTGCTGATAATGATGATGATGATGATGAGGAGGAGGAGGAGGAGGAGGAGGGGGAGGAGGATGAGGAGGAGGAGGAGGAGGAGGAGGAGGAGGGGGAGGAGAAAGAGGAGGAGCAGGAGGTGGAAGATGAGGAGGATGATGATGATGGTGAGAGGAGGGAGGATGATGATGAGGATGAGGATGAGGATGAGGATGATATTGAGGATGAGGAGGAGGAGGAAGAGGAGAAGGAGGAGGAGGAGGAGGAGGAAGAGGAAGAGACCATTGACACCTGGGCCCGGCACAGAAACGGAAAGAGCGCTTCAGAATCTTGACCGAAATTACTCACACCACCGTTCGTACTGGGAGCCTTGGCGTTGAGAGCTTGTTACGTCACTCCGCGCTCTTGGGAGCCTTGGTGTCAGAGATTGTTGCGTTGCCGCCCGTTCCTGAGCCTTGGCTGGGCCTTGGTGTCAGGAACTTGTTACGTCACCGCTCCCTGCTGGGAGCCCTGGTCTTATCAGCTTGTTTACGTCACCGTTCGCTCTTGGGAGCCTTGGTGTGAAGAGCTTTTTGCGTTACCGATCGCTCTTTATTTGGCTTCTCTGGGCCTTCTTGGGAGTCCCATTGCGGCCCTTTTCGAGCCCCTCTGGGGGCCTCTTGGGGGCCTCTTGGGGCTTCTTGGGGGGCTCTTGGGGCCTCCTGGGAGCTTCTTGGGGCGAAAGGCTAGACTTTTCGGTTCGTGGTCCCCCTCTTGGGGCCGTCTTGGGGCCCTCTTTGGCCGTCTTGGGCGCCTCTTGGGCCGTCTTGGAGCCCTCTTGGGCCGTTTTGGGGGCCTCTTGGGAGCCTCTTGGGCCGTCTTGGGGCGGTCTTGGGCCTCTTGGACTGTCTTCAACGCAGTGAAAGCCGAAAAGCAGTGTATGCTAAACATGTACCTTTTTTCCCATAGGCACTCAATTATTTTGGCCTCCAGGTGGCCTCTTGGGGCGCCTCTTGGGGCTTCTTGAGGGGCTCTAGGGCCTCCTGGGAGCTTCTTGGGGCGAAAAGCTAGACTTTTCGGTTCGTGGTCCCCCTCTTGGGCCCGTCCCGTCTTGGGCGCCTCTCGGGCCGTCATGGGGCCCTCTTGGGCCGTTTTGGGGGCCTCTTGGGAGCCTCTTGGGAGCCTCTTGGGCCGTCTTGGGGCGGTCTTGGGGGCCTCTTGGGCCGTCGCCAACACCGTGAAAGCCGAAACGCCGTATATGCTAAACATGCATGTTTTCCTAAGGCTAATCAATGATTTTGGCCTCTTGGGGCCCTCTTGGGACGCCTCTTGGGCGCCTCTTGGGGCGTCTTGGAGGCCTCTTGGGACGTCTTGGGGCTGTCTTGGGCTCTTCTGGGGCGGAAAAGGGGAGAACACGAAACATATACAAAAACCCGAAGAAAAACCCGACAACGGCCATTAACACTCATTCCCTCCCCCTACCCCCCCCTCTGCACTCCCCCTTAGGGGCTTCGCCCAAACACAACGTCATCACTCGTACCTCGCTCTTTCCGTTATCCCTCTTCTCCCAGCAAAATTAAGTGGCGTTCTTCTTTTTGTCCTCGACCGTTATGTTCTGATCCTTAGATTCGACCGCTAGACCTGTCCTGGGTTGCGCTCTGACCAGGGTTTCGAGGCGGATCCAGCCGTGGCGATGAAGGCCCACAACGGAGCTTGAAAAGCGTGAAACACACGTCGACGATCGACGTCTCTCTCCTAGCTTGACTGGCGCCATCGGGAGCGGCGATGATCAAGACTGTTCTGCGATGGAGGACGGAGGAGCGAAATGGGGGTGGGGTGGGGGCAAGGAATGGAGAGAGGAGGATGAGGAGGGAGACGGGGTCGAAGCAGGAAGAACTCGGAACTCGGAGGTCCGCGGAAAGATGCCAGAGGGCATCGTTGCCAAGGGTGTGCGCTAGAAGCAGGAGGAGGAGAAGGAGGAGGAGGAGGAGGAGCAGGAAGAGGAGGAGGAGGAGAAGGAGGAGGAGGAGGAGGAGGAGAAAGAGGAGAAATCGGAGGAGTCGTAGGAGGAGGATGAGGAGAAGGAGGAGGAGGAGTAGGATGATGATGATGATGATGATGATGATGATGATGATGATGATGATGATGATGCTGATGATGATGATGATGATGAGGAGGAGGAGGAGGAGGAGGAGCCGGTCGCCTGGGGCTAGGCGTCACCTTCCCAAGACTGCTGCAACACCGCGTGAACTCGTCAACGGAAAACAACTCGAAATGGCCAGCACTGGTGCCGGCGACGTGCCCCTCCTCCCATCTTGACTGGCGCCATTGGGAGCACCGATGATTGAAACTTATCTGCGTGCCGCTGCGCGAAGGGGGACGGGGGAGCGATTGGGGGAAGGCACGGGGTATGATGAGTTGGAGGGGAGGAAGGAGCGGAAAGAGGAGAACGAGAAGGAGGAGGAAGAGAAGGAAGAGGAGGAGGAGGAGGAGGAGGAGGAGGAGGAGGAGGAGGAGGAGGAGGAGGAGGAGGAGGAGGAGGAGGAGATGAGGAGGAGCATGAGGAGGAGGAGGAGGAGGAGGAGGAGGAGGAGGAGGAGGAGGAGGAGGAGGAGGAGCATGAGGAGGAGGAGGAGGGAGGAGGAGGAGAAGGAGGAGGAGGATGAGGAGGAGCATGAGGAGGAGGAGGAGGGAGGAGGAGGAGAGGAAGGAGGAGGAGACGGAGGAGGCGGAGAAAGAGGAGGATGATGATGAGGAGGAGGAGGAGGAGGATGTGGAGGAGGAGGGGGAGGAGGAGGATGTGGAGGAGGAGGGGGAGGAGGAGGAGGAGGAGGAGGAAGAAGCGGAAGAGGAGAACGAGGAGGAGGATGAGGAGGATGTCCTTGTCCTCGATCTTCCTGCTCTGGTCCTCCAGGGCGTCCTGCGCTCGCGAGCTCAGGGTGCTGATCGCGCCCAGCTTCACGCTCTGGGCGCCGACGTCCACCGCAGCGGCCTGGTCAGTCCTTCCTGCTCCTCCTCCTCCTCCTGCTCCCCCTTCTCCTCCTCCCCCTCCTCCGCCTCCTCCTCCTCCTCCTCCTCCTCCTCGTCCATCCATCTTCCTTATAAATCGCTCCTCCCTGTCGCCCCCCGAGACGTGTTGGTAGGGCGGGCTGGGCTTTTTTTTGTGCCTGAGACTTCCTCAACATTTAAAATCAGTCACGCTAGAAATTACATTCGTATGACAGATGGAGGGCGGGCCGTTTCCAAAATGAGGCTCTCGCCTCAGCGCCGCGATCATTCGTCTTAAGAAATGCAACAATTCACGGATGGAGGGCGGCCCGTTTTCAACATGTGGCTTTCGGCTTGGCGCCGCGCACTCCGCCTTCAGCTTGGAAGGTTTTCACGGATAGAAGGCGGGACGTTTTAAAAGTGTGGGTGTCGCCTTAGCGCCGCGCGCATTCGTTAAACAGCGCAGGAGATTTTCATGGATGGAGGGCGGTTCCCTTTCAGCTGGTGGCTCTCCTCTTCGCGCCGAGTACATTCGTATTCAGAGTTTACAGCAATTTCAGGGACTCTTATGGTTGACGTCCCAGAAACGATGTTTTGGTAAGATGTTGGATTGTCAGGGCGCACATATGTCACGTCGACTCGTAGTGTCGGAGTACCAGGAGTTGTGTTCTGGTGCGATTCAGGATCGCCAGGACGCAACAGTCATGTTGATTCGTGGTGTTGAAGTCCCAATAATGGTTCTCTGGCGCGATTCAAGATTTTCAGGCGGTTGTCTTCCAACGGGGCACTTCCCTCAGTGAAAACGAATCCATGTAGGAACCTGAGAAGAGGGAGGTTTGAGGGAGGGTCAAGTGCAACATTGTTGATGAGTCTTGAGGTTACACTGGCCCTCCTCCTCCTCCTTTCCCCTCCATCTTCTCTTTTCTCCTCCCCGTCCTGCTCCCAACCCTCCTCCCCTCTCATCCCCACTCATCCCCCGCCCTTCTCCCCCCTCCATCCCTCCCGCCCCCCCCCCCCCTTCCCGTCCTCCTTCTTCTCCTCCTGGCCCTCCTCCCTTTCACCCTTGTCCTCCCCTCCTCGTCCCCCCATCTACCTGGACTTTCATCGATTCGACGGGATTTCCCTCGATTTACCCGGCTCGATCCCCGCGAGTCGATCGGAGACGAGCCGTCAAGCCCCAAGTCGGCGGCGCGCCCAGGGGGAAGGCAGAGGGGCAGGCCTTCTCAGAAGGCTCAGAAGGCCTTCTGCCTTCGGAAACATGTTCCAAGACTTCCCCGAGGCCACGGATGGCTTCTCCGAAGGCTGGGAAGCTTCCGAGAAGCCTCCGCCTTCTTTAGAAGGCCTGCCCCCTCTCACTCCCCCCTCGGCGAGCCGCCGACTTATGGAGCTTATGATTATCTTTCTGCTAGCTGGCCTCGAACTGCTTCTCGAGCTCGTCCGCCTCTGCCAGAAGGCGCCGGCGCTCCGCGCTGTCCTCGGCCGCGCGCTCGCGCTGCTCCTGCACTGTGCCCTTCAGCGAGTCGATTCTGCCGAGGAGCGCTTCGACCTTCTCGTTCAGCGCGAGCAGCTCCTGCTGCTCCTCGGCCTCCTCAGGGGCCCCGAAGCCAGGACATTGCCAACTGGGACTTTGAAACAATTCCACCTGGAGGGAGCGGAGATGGAGAATGTCTCTACCCAAAGGTGCAATTTTCTCGGGCGCGCCAGTGTCCTGGTCTATGAGGTCCCCGTTCTGAAGGGGCCCTGGCTTCCTCGGTCTCGGCCTCAGGGGGCCTGTTTCGGGCAGCAGGGCCGTCGAAACCCGCTCTGGGATGACGAGCTGTTGGGCGTTGCCTGGTGTAGGGTCGACCAAGAAGGGGCCAATCAAGGTGCACCTTTCGTGCGCCTTCGGGGCCCCAAGGCCACTTGAGGGCCCCTTTCATGCCCCCCCTTCCGTGCTCGTGTCCTCGTCGTCGTGGTCGTGGTCGTGGTCGTGGTCGTCGTCGTCATCCCAATCTTGTGGGCCTGTGCGGGGTTGCCCCTGTGCAGGAGCCCCGTTCATGCAGCCCTCGATTCCCCCCAAATTTTGTCGCCCTCCACTACGAAACGTCAGGATTTTGGCAAGATGGACCCAGGGAAGGCTCTGGGGACAGATTTTGAGCGGACTTTGGCCGGGACCTGCAGCAGGCATCTGTGCCCTTCCACTGTGCTTGGCCATCCTGGGCCCTGGCATGGTGTATGCGCCCTCCGACCACGGGTTCGTGCCGTGTCGACTCAGGCGTTGGTTTCTGACACCCCATTTCTGGAACTTCAGATCGTTCTACATCGACCGATTCTGTGTCGCCAGCGGCGTTCAACGTTGAACGCCGGCGGCGGGTCGCAGCTGATCGACACGACGCGAACCTACCGTACCCATGGCAAAGTGGGACCTAAACGCCATCCCGGTGCCCGGGATGGCCCAGGCGCGGATGGCATGGAAACGGGGCCCAGAAGGAAGCGGGCCCTGGACACCGGGGCTCTCGCTGTCGGGTGCGGCAGGGAGAAGGGGGATGAGTGCACCACGGCCCGAGGCACGTGCGCAGACATCGGGGGGCGGGGGACGTCTCTGAAGGAAACGAGAGGCCGTGAGATCTGGGAGACATCATGGCCCTGGCCATGATCGTGTCTGCATCCCCCTTGGTCCTCGTCCCCCTCTTGGCCGCCCCCCAGACCAACCTTTCATCCACGGTCGTCTTCTGTCAGTCTCGGGGCCCAGGAGGGCCCCCAGGAGGCCGAGAGCGTTGGAAAACCGTAGAACACGTTTTTGGAAGAAGAAACAACTGCACAAACATAAACTTTCGCCGCGGATTTCTTGGACCGGATCTGGGCCCTTCTCCCTGGCGCGCTCCGCGCTTCAGAGGCGGCGCCGGAAGCGCCGCCAGGGAGTTCCAGCGCAGATCCGAGAAATCCGGGCGAAGCTGCAAAGTTTATGTTCATGCCTCTTGCTCTCTCCCTCGATTTCCCCCAGGGCCCCTTCTCTTCACGGCGAGCCTCGGGCTCCGTCGCCGTATCGGCCGCCGCTGGCTCAGCGCCCTCACGGTCGACGGGCGGCTGCTGATCCACCAGCTCCTCGCGGACCGCCACAGGCACGGCGGGCCCTGTCGCTGCTGAGGGACAGGAAAGAGGAGAAGTGAGGAGGGGAAGGATGAGGATGAGGATGAGGATGAGGATGAGGATGAAGATGAGCATGATAACGATGATGATGATGTTGATGATGATAATCATGTTGATGACGAGGATGATGCTGCTGCTGCTGCTGCTGCTGATGATGATGATGATGATGATGATGATGATGATGATGATGACGAGGAGGAGGAGGAGGAGGAGGAGGAGGAGAAGG